TAACAACCCAATAGGCGTTTGCAAACAATGTTCTTGCGCTAAGTGTATTTAAAATGATTTTGGATCTTAGCAGCACTGGTGCAGCCTTACACCTCACAAAAGCCAAATTCAGTTTGTGCGCGGGGTTGTGAATTGTGCATGTGTGGATTGAGGGGCTTTGCCCTGCCCGTGTAGCACCACCCCGTCACACATGTGGTCATGCTGCTGCTGACTGACACTACTTGCCAGAACCCCCCAAAGACAACCATACGGTGGAGTCACTGTAGGATGATAGTCACTACAGCCCGGAGTCACTATATACCTTTTTTTTTTTTAATTTTATTGTTGTTGATTATCCTTGCTATCCCAGTAAATCTTAAAAAGAACTGGGAGTGGCTTTCTGAAGCATGAGTGGAATGGACTATATTTAATGGTGTATATGTACTGTATAGTTCCCTTGAAAGTACACTTTGTAATTTGCTTGAACATATGCAGTTGTTTTCTGTATTTTTAGCATCAAACCTTTTGAGATTCAATACCCTTGACATACATCTAACATAGGAAACAAATGCTGTTATGGCTGGTGTTGAACTTTCTATTTGGAATATATATAAATGTAGTGCTTGGTTGCCCTTTGAGCACAATATAAATGAAAATTTTAATGTAAAGAAATAGCTTTCCCTTTAGTTGAAACAATAATATTGTCCAGAGCCTGTAAAACATCCATAAAAGCACTAAAGTACCTGCATATGCCGAGGAGCAGATGCTTGACTAATGTTTCTTGGTTGTTAGAGAGTGTGTGTGTTATTTAACCTCTTGCGTGTTTATCTAAAACTGGAAAAATACAAACCTTTGCAACACCTGTGCAGAGTTTCTTTCTCTTAAGCAGCCATATAAACCCAACAGTGTCTTTTTTAATTCTTACAGATGTAGGTGTATATTTTASAACAACATCAGCTCCTGTAAAAAATGCAGTAGTTGGAATGCAGAAATTAATTTATACCCAATTTGGAGCCCTTTTGTACTGCAGAAATGCTTTAGAGAGGTGTGAGTTGGGAAGAGAATCAGGCCCTTAATCTTCCCATTGAGGGGGAATGGCTCTTGCAGCTGTGTGCAAGCAGGACAAGCCGGAGGAGCGAGTGTCACCCCTGCACTGAGAGCTGCAGGGCAGGCTCTGACCAGCCTTTCTTGCTGTGGTAGTGCCAGGTTAAGCCCCCGTGCCCTGCCTGTCCCACTCCTGTGACTATGCGGTAAATTAGGTCAGAAAACTTAATCCAGATTAAAAATAACCCTGGGCTAAACAAGATTTTAACCTATTTCTTTTTTTTTTTTTTCCCTACTAAATTTGTTTGTAGAATTGTGCAATGCACTGGACGTGAAGCTTGGCGAGGAGACARGAGTGAGAGCATGAATTAGGGTAGCATCATAATGAAAGAAGCAGTTGTTGAACTACAGCCTTGATAGCAAATGGGGTGAGATTGCCCTCAGTTAATAGAAATACTGAGTATCTGTTTTTTTGGGTTTTTTTTTTAATGTACTCTTATGGTGTCCTCCARACCAAACCTCAGTTAGCCTACCTCACATATTGGGGAGTCATTTGAGTACAGTGATGATGTGATGGTGAGTGAATAAATGTTGCCCACACAGTGAAGTCAAAACACACAAGACCTCTCATCTCCTAAAACCTCATTCAGATCTTTACTAGGTTGTTTGGATTTTTGGAAAATGACACATGAAGCAGATGAAGCAAGGGAAGTCATATACCTGAAAGATTTGATTGTTGAAGCAARTTCTGGAGAAGGAAGCACGTAGCTTCATCTTTTCTTCATGAATAGACAGCTGACTGGCGTATGCAGGCAGTGGAGTTGCTGTTTCTATAACCTAGGTATTCTGTGCCATTCTTRTGTTTGGTATCCCTAGAAAATACTAACACATTGCTTTGTAACAGATACARGAGTAGTTCAGATTGTGCCCTACAAGTTGATTTTGGTGGGTCTGCCGTATTTTTTTGCTGTGACCTTGAAGGGACTTGATTGTTAGGACACTATTCACTCATGTATGGACCTAATAACCATTACTTGAGGACAAGAATTGACTGGAGAGGATGGAGGCCGTCTGTAAGGGCAGCATGCAGAGCCAGTACGAACTTCCCAGTGAGTCTGTGTGGACAGGCACTGGTGACCTATTGCTAATCTCCTGCCCTTGTGGCCTGAGAAGGATTTTGTGAAAGCAGGTATCCATCTCAGGGTACAGAATAGATTGGATTATTCATAGGTACCAAGTATGCAGTTGCGTCAGGTTTCTCCTGCCACTGAGCTGAAGCTTTCTTGACCTGTGTTCATGGTAATTAAACCCAAATCCCTCAAATCCAATAAGTGTTTGAAAAGGCTTCAGTAGTGGTAGGGTGATGTGTATGTATGGACATGTTCTCATGCTTATCCTCATTATATGGATTTGAACGCAGGAGTTAATGGGGTTCTGGCACTTCCACTGACTTTGCACAGACTGCAAATCCTGGAGAGGTTCTTCACATTAGGAGGAAAAAGAACGATTTTTAAAAAGATAGTGTGTATTTATCCTCAGTGCATTATGCATAAATTTATAACAGTTATATTAACATAAGGTGGGATGAATTATTCTTTATTTATAAATTTTTCAGAACTGTTTTCCTTTTGCCTAAACTAARCCCTTTTGATGCTCTTGCTTCTCTGGCTGGCTGTAAACCAGGTATTTAAGCAAAAATAAAGAGTTGCCAGTTTTGCCAGCTGGGGATGAGAACCCGGCTGGTGATACGCGGGTTCGGGAGGCAGTTAATCCAGCTTTTATGCTTTTTTATGATTTTATGTAAAAAGAGGTTAAAAATCACATTTGGCTCTTTCTTTGTACCACTGTTTTGTTGCTGTTGTGGGAATGCAGCAAAAGGTTGCTCATACTTTTTATTATTATTAGGTAAAGTCCTGCATAAATTAGGTAAAGCCCCTGATACAGTTCGCTTGAGCTATTGGCCATGTGATTTGCCTTGCTCGAGAATGAAAGGTTTTATCTTCCCATTGCCTGTTTTATAAATCACACGTTCAAACCACATCTCCCCTTGAAAAAAGAATCTATCCCTGCTTCACAATTTTATGTATTTTAGTAGCTTCAAAAGAAAAGAATAAACAGCAGTACAAATAGGGGAAATAGTAACAGTGATGATACATAAAATAGAAAAAAATATATAATGCTTTTATTCTGTGGCTGAAGACATGGTGATTTAAAGATGTTAAGTGTCACAGATTTCATATAGGCTTTTTTCAGCAAATCGCTTGCAATATGCTCAAACTCATAAAACATTTAATTAATTTTACAATGCCAGAGTTATTTTAGTTGGTTTTGTCATATGTACTTATTCAGATAATTTGTTGTATTTTACACCTCCCAAAATTTCAACGTTTATTTGGAAATATCAATGATGTAACGAGTCTGTGTGTTTTGGCACAGTTGTAAATAGTATGTGTTAATGTGTTAATATTTATGCTTTTTAATCTTATATACACAAGAGGGGTTTGAAATATACTTCTTTTCATCATGTTCCTTCTACTCTTCCTTAAGGATAGTGAAAACGGRATTAGCCTGCATTAATTACTACTGTATTGTCGAAATTGCCGTCCTGGATCAGGCTGCACTTTGTTTCTGCTACTCGCATGTACCAGSTGCCTCAGAGCAGGCTGGGGTTTTCTTGGGGAGAGGTGGCTGCGAGGGCTGTGCAGGGAGCTCGCACAGGACTGGCCAGGGCAGCGCACGTGCCCTTGGCTGGTGTGATGCCATCGTGGCACCCCGTGTCCTGTGTGGGGGAAGGCTGGCCCTGCCCTTGCTTCGGGGCAATTACTGCAGGTCTTTTAGACACTTTAGACAGTCATAAGGTAATGAGAGTCTTGTTTTTTTTTTCTAATCACTCATGCTGCTTTTCAGAATCTACCGTTTAATGATACATAAATCTTGTAGAATTCCTCATAAATATACCCCAAGTAGATTAGCTGCACTTGTCTAGTCCTAATTACTACTACTACTGAAGTTTAAAATTTTTTGGTTTTGCCTCCTTAATATTTCTGCGTATTAAATTATAGAAATAGACATAATATAATAGTGGAGCATACCTATGAGGAACTCATAAGCATTAAGGAAACTGAAAGGTGCTGTGTGTATATGTAATACAGAAGACATGTGCCTAAAATGCTGACATTTGCTGCAGAAAGATATGTTAACAATATATTAAATATAGAAAGAAATACTAAATTTATTGAAGTCAAGACATACCATTTAGATTCCTTATTCTGATTTTGMATGGGGCTGCTGAAAGAAGAATGGTGGAGTAAGTCATCTTTTAGGCACGTAAATACTGAAGGCCATCATATGTCTATGCATTAACCCAGCCTGGCTGGTTTGGATTTCATCATGGAACACAGTGGACTTGTCAGGAAATGCGGTCTCAGGGCTCTTAATATAAACAAAAGTTACAAAGAAATAAATTACCTTAATGAGATTAAGGTGTTTTGAAATTTCACTCTCTATTCTTATGAGTGGGAAAAGAGAAAGAAGTGATTGAGCAGGGTGAGTGTTTCACTTTCTCTCCCTGAGGAATCTGACTGAGGTGGCARTGCCCAGAGATTTAAGTGAATCTTCCTAAAACTGTATACATTGTAAAAGTGGTTGTAAAACAGGACATAGGAAAGGGGAAAATGCAGTAGTGACCATTTGGCGGGGGAGGGGGCTTTCTCCATTTTTGTATTATGTTTGTTTCTGATGATTTATGTTTGGACTGACAATAYAGTTCCCAGAATGTCTGAAACTTTGATATAGCTGAGGTGTATGGTCAGTGCTGCAGTTTGTACGTTTGGATCTGAGTTCTTGGAGTCTTGGTTGTGTGCAGCAGAAGTAAAGCCCTGAAAGCACATTCATAAAGAGAGAATCCAAAAAAGGGCCAAAATGGTCGTGTTTGAAGTAGCGTCTTATCTTACAGCTGGTTTTGGTTTCCATTTTAGGTATTGGAAGATAATGACTATGGTCGTGCAGTGGACTGGTGGGGATTAGGAGTTGTCATGTATGAAATGATGTGTGGGAGATTACCATTCTACAACCAAGATCATGAAAAACTGTTTGAACTAATACTAATGGAGGACATAAAATTTCCTCGAACCCTCTCTGCAGATGCAAAATCATTACTTTCAGGCCTACTGATAAAAGATCCAAATAAGCGGTAAGTGTAGAAAAACTTCTAAGGACCTAGTATCTGAAAAATTTACTTTAAGAATTTACAGTGATTTACTTACTTGTACAGAAAAGAGCCCTATGCAGCCGAGAGGCTGAACAGGCTGGAAGTCTGAGTCTATTTGGCTATTAAGTGAAAACACCTTGTTTCTTTCTTCCATTTAGTTGTAAATTCTAAATTAGTTATGGAGAATATGACTTACTTGAGCCTGAGTTGGCTGCAGTGTTGAGTAAGGACTGCCCTGCATTGCCTTGGATGTGATCATGCCTGAAGCCGCTAAAAGGCTTCCCATCCACAGCTGCAGGTTATTAAGAGCACGTATTAGGTCACATAAACTAGAAAGCAGTAAAGTAATACACATCTGGAGTCAGATTTAAATACAACGGTTTGAAAGCAGGTATCACCAACTGCTGCCTTTGCCCTTTTCTGGTTGACTTTTTCCTCTGGATCTGTGTTTTTTAGGCCATCCATCTTCCAGTGACTCCGTGCACTGGACAGGCAATGTCCGGTCCCTGTGGTTCTCAAATAAATCTCTCCCTAAGTGAGAGAGAGGTGTTGTTAGGTTGTCTCTTTGCCCCAAGCTCCGAGTGCCTCTTGGGGGTCTCTCAGTYTCTTGTAGGGGTCGAGGCTCCCTTCGCTCTGCACAGGATGGCCCAAGCAGTCAGTCTTCTGCTGCCCAGCAAAGCCCCTTTCCTAAGCGTACAGCAGTGCAAGCAGGCTCTGAGCCACCACCGAAATGCAAGGAGAGTAAACTGAAAATTTGTTCCTGTAGCAACTTCCAATGCATTTTAGTCTCTGAACAATCTGACCCATCAAATATATTAACCTTTAGAATGGAAAAGATACTTGCCTATAATTAATCTCTGCAGACAACAGTGTTTATGACAGGCTTATGTTTATAAGCTTATTCATATTCAAGTTCTGGTGCTAGCTGCTGATAAATAGGGGGTTAAGTGGAGCTCAGCTTCTCTCTGAACAGCTGGATAGGAAGATACTGAGAGAAGGCTGGAGGCTGCAGGGAAGTAGAAAATTTTACAGTTCAGGGAGAAGTTACAAGAGCACTGAGCAATCCTAGCAGTTGACTGCTATTGAAGGAGGCAGGGGTTCCTCCTCTCATGCCCTCTCCTGGGTGTGTGTCTCTGTCCCTACAGCTGCAGCCCAGGGAAGCTCACTGACCCCATTGCCCGCTCATTTTTGACTTGCTAAATGCACCAGAAAACTGCCCGTTTGTCCTTAGGTTTTCATTGCCGAGCTGGGTTTCTTCCAGCTTAGCGGGTTGAATCTCTCTCTCCCTCTTCGGGGGACAGTGGGCGCCGCAGTGGGTGGCAGGGAGGCCGCAGCTGGGGGTCAAGAGGGACCTCTTCCTCCTCTTCCTCTTTCTCCTCCTCCTCCTCCTCCTGCAGCAGGGACCGCTCGGACACGTGCAGGGCACCTGGGGCAGCGGCACCAGCGCAGGAGGCCGCCGCTCACGGCGCCCGCGCTCTGAGAGGACGAGCCAGAGCCTGGCTTTGGCAAGCCTCGTGCCAGAGCCTGGCTTTGGCAAGCCTCGTGCCACAGCGAATAGCGTGGTTATTTACGGCAGCCTTTAAATAACCTTCTCAGCAGGCCTGCAATTTATTAATTTATACTAATTGACTCAGATTGAGACTATTTTATGGTAATTGGTTAATTGTTACAGCACCCAGATGCAACAGCAGTGAACACTGTATAAAAACGATGTGTGAATCGTTATGGGTTCCACGCCTGGCATCAGCCTGGCAAAATTGTGTGTCAGGGTKGGGTTTGGGTTTGGTTTTTAATAGTGCCAGAAAGTCAGTTGTTCTTTCAAGAAAGCTAAGGATAAGTATGTTTCTAAAACATATGAATTATGAAAATATTTGTCATGGTCAGTAACAAATAATTAAACAGAATAGAATGTTAATCGCATACTTTTGTTATCACTTTTTCTTGATGTCACCAGAATTTCATATTAAACAGGGGAGAATTGTCATTGGCTTTTCAAAAATAAATGGTCACTTCTCTAAGAATCACAATAACATGGTCACGCTTCAAAAATAAAGCTTGTATAATGTGAATTTTTTTCTTCTCTCTTCAGACTTGGTGGAGGCCCAGATGATGCAAAAGAAATCATGCGTCATAGCTTCTTTGCTGGAGTAAACTGGCAGGATGTATATGATAAAAAGGTATGTCTTTATAAGAGGTTGAATAATCTGGCTTCTGCAAGATAATGTCAGCTGGTAGCCATAGGAGTGTTATTCTCTGAAGTATTCATGTTCTCTTTTTGCCTCTTTTCATATTAATTCAAATTAATTATTCTAAATAAAGGTGAAGTTATTTAAATTTTTGCTTTTCATCAGTAATTTGCAAGTGGATCAGAAATAAGTTTTTCAAACCAAAGTAAACTCAGCAAAGATTTTCTGCATATTATTTAAATATTTAAGGCTTTCCTTCCCTTTCTTCCTGAGTCTTCAAAAGAAAGTAGGTGTACGAGCCAAGCTATTGAGAATGTGTAAAGGAAGGTTTTCCTATTACTTACACTACCTCATCCTGCCTTTTAACTTAAGCTTTTTTTTTGTCTCTATAGAGATAMAAAATTTGAATGACTGGTCATTAGTATTTAAACAGAAATATTATATCAAACTAATTTTTAAAAAAATCTAAGAAAATTTAAATTGCATTAATATACTTGGCCAAAAGAGGTTGGGGAGAAAAAGGGTCCGGGGGATTTGATTTCAGCAGCTTTGTTGATTATCACAGGAACAAGACTGAATTTAAACAGTTTCTTTAATTTATTTTAGATACTGATGTAGATATCTCCATACTTTTGTAACTATTTACTCATTGCTATAAATTCCTGCTCTTCTATTTAGCGTTAAGGTCTTCTTCTGTTCTTTTCCAGCTATTTTATATTGTTAATCTTCCAGTTGAGCTATGTAATTTTTAAAGATAGATTTTTCTCCTTTTTTGATGTGCTTACATAAAAGGAAATGGAAATCATATGAATAAGCAGAATATGTTTGGGCTAGTGTAAGACAGTTCTTCAGTTGTTGAACTGGCATTTTCAGATGGTGTGCTTGATGTAGGTGTTTTATTTCTCTGACAAATACTGGAATTGTRATGAGAACTTGCATATTGCTATGAAAATATGATACTCTCTAAAATTASTTGATACAGGCTTAAGTGTGTTAAATAAATAATGAGAACAAGTACTATAATCAGATTTCTTTGCCAAAGCACTGACTATATGTGTAAGAACATTGTATAGAAGTACTTGGTAAAATCTGAAAATGTAAGTTCAGGATCTGTCCATAATTTAAAAAAATACTAAAATCATTTGAATTTCAAAACTTACTAGTACAAGGTGCTGGAAGTGGGGCAAAAAAGTAAAAAGCTGTGAGATCATTCTTGGTAGAAATCTTGAAGAAGATTTCTTAATTGTTTTGCAGTAGAGAGTCCTCAATTCTACACTCTATTCAGTTTTTCTTTTTGTTAAGAAAATAGAGATTTTTTAAAAGATTTTAAGCATATTCTTTCAATGTTTCCAAATCAAAGGCCAGTATCTAATCTAAAGTCTTAAAATAGATGGAGGTATTTTACTTTTCTATAAATACCAATGTTTTGTTTTCATGTGCACCTCATGTAGGAGGTGAATAAGGCTTAGCAAAGACTTTGTAACGGGAGAAGTTGTCGTCAAATGCTGTTTGCTTCGTCCATTGCTGCTTTGAGAAACTGAACTTGCTAGTAAAAGTGAATTGTATTTCCTCAATTAAGCAATCAACTCCGAGGATACATAGGAATTACTTCTTTGTAATATTGGCACACGACGTGCTCTTTATGGAAAAACAACTCCTCAAAATCATTCCTGACTACATTTTTCTGTTTAATTCAGAATTATTTCTATTCCTATTATAAAGCCATTCATTTGGTTTTTCAAAATGTCCAGCCATTCCTTTTGCATATGCAGTTTTATCACTTTCAAATTATGCAAAGAGCATAAGACCTTGCTATGAAATGTAAACTTTAAACATAATCATATGATTAATGAGCTTTCACTSAGGTGGTTTTCTTTATTGTAATATTTGTATCAATGCTTTGAGGTTTTAAAATGTTTAAAAAATGTTTAAAATGTTTAAAATATAGTTTCTAAGGTAACTCAGAAGGGATCTGCATCAATCAGAAATGAGATTTTCAAAGAGATTTATCCTATGCTTGCTTCTACTATTGATGTTTATTATCAGTAGTGTAGTGTTTGGTAGTAGGATCACTTGATGAAATTTGTAGTTGACTATTTAATAATTATTTGCCTAGTAAAAACATTCACAGTACTTTTGTCCAAGGTTTATGCACCATGAAACTATAATCTCCTTAGCTGCATTTCTGGAGTGTGTTTCTGTTATTGATGAAAGAATTGAAGTTCATAGTTGGATTAAGGGAAACCAAAAAATCATGTGTATTCTAAATAGTTCTAGTTATAGAGGTGCACACTACGCAACAGTGCTGCTAATTTTATCAGTTTTACTAGAGATAAAGTACAAATCTGTGAGTAATAGGTTATTACTTTACCAGTGTGAYTAGAGACAATATTGTGTGTCCACAAATTTAGAGGATTAGAGTCAAGGAGTAGCTCTGTCAGGTCAGGTGGGTCCAAATGGTCAAATGGAATTGCTAGCTCTCTGATACCCCTAATTAATTAAGCTAATTGGGTACGACACAGCGGTAATAAAATGTTGTGTGGTGCATTAGAGCAGAGAAGGGTGTTACCTTCAAATGGTAAATATATAGCAGTTAGCATTTGTGATCATGTGCATTTATTTTTGGCAGAAAAAAAAATGAGGGCATGTGAGAGAGAACTGTCTGTGCCAGGTTCTTCCTGTGATCATCTCAGCCCTGATGAGTTTTTATCTTTCTGCACAAGTAAGAGGAGYTGAATAGTTTGGCAAACTCAGAGAACTTCAAAAGCCCATATACTTCTAAATAAAATTCCTTTTTTATTTTTAGCTAGAAACATGAAACTTTTTGACATTTCTCTGTTACTCATTTAAGAACTCTTTCAGGATTTTTTTTATTTGAGTTACAAAAATATTCCTAAATTTTCATATGTTCTGCCTAGGGCCTTTCACTGAATAGAAAACATATGAGAATTAATTTAGAGGTAGGAGTTTAGGTACGTTCTCAGACACGCAGCTTGAAGCACTCCGGTAGCCTCATGTCCGTGAAAATCCAGCCGTGGCTTTCCTCCTGMTTGTGATGCAGATGAAACGAGAAGGAAGCTCCACAGGAACAGGCGCTGAGGTACATATGTTGTCTTCTGTTTTCCAGCAATATCTGATTAATGCTAAGGTAGATTAGGGAGTGCTAACAAGTTTAGCCCCCGGACATAGCAGGGGAAGCATTAACACGTGAGGAGGGAGAAGCAGCAAGTGGCAGGGAAGGTTAAGGCCAATGTGTCCGAGCTCGCTGGGGAGCGAAGGAGAAGCAAACGCGACMGCAGGTGTCCTGGTGTGGGGGCAGCAGCTGCCAGCGGCGGCTCCGGCCCCTGCGGGAGGCTGCTTCCCCTTCCCCGTGTGGCTGCCTCGGCCTTGCTTGGGACACAGCAGCAGCACATCGTGAGATCCCGTGGTCAGGCCTGGAAAAAACCCTGCAAGGTCACTCTAATCTTAAATCCATGTTTAAGTGCTTTTTTCTCTTAGATTTTTAAGGGAAGGAAGAGGAGGGAAATAGGAAAATGCCAACATCTGGTTTTAGGCAGTTCCTGTTTGAGTCATGCTATTTTTGTGCAGTTCTCAGCACTGTAATAAATCCCGGCTGACCGACCTCCTGACTTGCTTAGGTGCTGCTGCCATGCAAAGCAGTAAGGAGATCAGCAAACCACTACCTACCCTAGTCTTTTAATTGGTGTTTCCAGTGATGCTTTAAAGTAATGCACAAGCCCCCAGCACGTTGTCACCCCCGCCAGCAGCTTCCATTGGCAGAAAGGAAGAGCAGCAGAAGAATTTCTGACTCCTAAGCAAATTCCTGTGATTGTGGTCCCAGGGGTTCCCGTTGCTCTTTGGAAGACATTCCAAATGTTAGACATTTGGAAAACGAGCAGCTTGTCCATGGGCAACCCAGACCAACGCAGCCTGGTTTCGTGCCGGTTCGTATTGTGTGTCCCACCCCAGGGCCCTTCCCCRTGCTGCCCCACATGCTCCCTGGCTGCCCCACAGCTCCCTGCCCCACTCCGCAGGGCTGCTTGCCGGGGTGGGATGCTCCAAATCCCCGCCTTTCCCTCTGGGGAAGCTCTCATTTGGGGGCCGTGGGGAGCATCCCTCTTCAATAACTGCTCCCAGGGATGCTGTGAGAGGTATCTGTACCTCTTTTGCTTTGAGTCTTTTCCTCACTGTAGTGCACCCGTTGGTCCATGGTCCAACCATGGCCCAACCATTCAGGATTTCCTAGGTAAGCACCTACAGACAGGCTACAGAACCAYATCAGCTCCTGTTTTCTTTGGTAACTGACCTCTGATTGGAGACAGAAGRAAAAAGAATTATCAGTGATAAAGAAAAATAAGTATTTTTTTAAAGATTAATATACTTTTAATTATAATAGCGTCATTGATGAACTTTTTGGAAACTTTGCCTTGAAATCTTTCTGCTTACTAGAATGCTGTCCTTCCCATRCACTCCTGTACTGCCAGTGTTAAAATACTGAGCTAAGGTTTTGTGTTGGTAGTATTTTTAGGATTACCAAATATTTGCTTTGAGGGGAGGATAAGAGAAGTATAAAAGTAAGCACATTTTAACAGATGTGAATGAGGAAAACCAGGAAATTTCAAGACTGAGCATTGTTGGTGTCCTTTTAAAGTCAGAGAATTTCAGTTAGCAATTTTGTTAGATATTTGTTAGATATTTTTTCTAATTTGTGAACTGATTTTGTGAATTGCAGCATGTTCTCAGCAGTTAGAGCTGAGTATGCTTGGGACAGGATGAGAATGTATGATTGTGTTTCATCAATGTGGCCTCCTTCTCTTCTCACAGTGTAATTTATTTTTTCCTCCTTTGGATTTGGCTAATTTGTTTCTTCTGTTTGATTCTGGAAGATAACAACTTTGCAGTATTGGCAACACATTCCTCCAGGAAATTTTAAGATAGATGAAAGTCTGATTTCTGGGTATCAGTTTTATGAACTTAGTTAAGAATATTA